TATGGATCACCTCCCCTATCACCAGAATTCCTCCACCTACATGGTGGGCTGCATCAGCTGACTGAGAGCACACAACACTCTGCCTCTGCCTGTATAGCAGTAAGCATAACACTGGGGTGAAAAGCAGTGTAGAAGACAGAAACTACTTGTACAGTAGGCTCAATGCTGCAGTTCTGGAAGCAACTGCTCCCAGATCTGTAACCAGGACCTGTAATTAAGACCTTACTCTTGTTTCACTTGAAATGAGAATGTCTCCAAGTGAAAGGGCACAGTGATCAGCATGAAATGGGGAAGATGAGGCAGCAGAGTTCCCTCCCCACAAAGAGCTGTTATTTTTCCAAGAAGATAATGGAGATACAGCAGTTAGTTTGCTACCTGGATACCTGCAGTCCTCATCATGAGGCAAGCAGACTAGGTCAGTACTCCCTTTTGTTAGGCCACTATCTAGGTTTCAGTGAGACAGCAGCAGTGTCTCTGTTTGAACAACAGGAGAGCTACCCTCTACCATGAACTGCCAGAATAAAGAGGCACCTGTTTTACAATAACTTGTGTCTGTCTGCTAACAAGGGCTGACCCCACAGGACCAGGGCAAACTCCTTACCTGTGCCTGTGCCGGAGAACATCCCGGCCGGACTGCAGGACATCCTGACGAGCCTCTGCCAGAGCTGCCACTGCCCCCTGGGCCACTGCAGCAGCTGAGCCAGGCCTGTGCCTGGCAGAGGAGGCCAACGAGCTCTTCCCCCCCGTGCCAGCAGGGCTCTGACTCACTGCTCTCCCAGAGCCTGGCTTGAAGTGGGCAGCTAAGGCCAGGATCAGCCTCATGATAGATTTCAAGTTCCCATCAACAATATCTGCAAAATGCAAATAAAGGCAAGGACAATGCCATTAACGTGGTGTCCCACCAGAGCTGCACTTCACCAACAAGCATGGAAACCATCAAATCCAGTGGGACCAGTGGACAAGGACTATGCCAAAAGGACTGCACAACAGAACTGATGCTTAGCTCTGCTTGCTTGGTACAGAGAGCAAACTGACTGCCACCTACAGATCACAAGTTAAAATGCTTTGGAGAGGCTTGAGCCTTCTCCCTACAGCCATTTCCAGCTAACAATCCAGTATGTGACAACACACCATAATTACTGAACACTCCCTGGAAACAGTGCAGCAGTTTCTGGAGACTGCCACTTTACTAGCAATCACTTCAGTTAGTAATGAAATCTGCATTTTTAATACTAAAGACCAGAGAACAGCATGTATTTCCTTAGCAATAGCATCCAGTACTACAAATAGTTGGTAGCACCTTCCAATAGTTAGTCAGTTTTAATAATATCACACTAAGCATTTCCTCCAGCATACAAACCAGCTCAAACACCTTGATGTTAAGTTCACTGCAAAGATTAGCCATTCTTTCAGGCTAGGATTTCTCAAAATGCTAATTTTCTCAACATTTCTAACCTAAATTTACCCTTTTCTAGCTTAAAGCCATTACCCCTCATCCTGTCACTACAAACCCCTGTGAATAGTCCCTCTCTTCCTTTCTTGTAGGCCCCTCTCAGGTACTGGAAGGTTGCTACAAGGTCCCCCTGGAGCCTCCTCTTCTCCAGGCTGAACAGCCCCAACTCCCTCAGCCTGTCCTCACAGCAGAGCTGCTCCAGCACTCTGATCAATTTTGTGGCTCTCCACTGAACATGCTCCAAGAGGTCCATGTCCTTCTTGTGCTAGGGGCTCCAGAGCTGGACACAGACTCCAGGTGAGGTCTCCCCAGGGCAGAGCAGAGGGGCAGGATCACCTCTCTCCATCTGCTGGCCACGCTGCTTTGGATGCAGCCCAGGATTTGATTTGCCTTCTGGGCTGCTGCTGCACATTGGTGGCTCATGTCCAGCTTCTCATTTACTAGTACCCCCAAGTCTTTCTCCAGTGGACTGCTATAGTCACGAGCTCCTAAGAACTTGTAACATTACTGAAAGAAACAGTACAGCCTCCAGCAGCAGTACTGTGCCAACAGTACTCATTACTCTGTATTTAAATACTAAGCTTCTGACCAAGACCTATAAACCAACAGCTTGTACTCTCCTGCTAACAAGGGTCATCTCTTCCATGCAGTCCACCTCAGCATTTTCCCCCTTTCTCATCTGAAGGGCCACACATGATCAGAACTCTATCCTTTTCCAGTACAGTCAGCAAACAGTAAGGATCAGGGCCTGTCTTCTGTCCCATAGATCTACACACACACCCCAGCAGTCCTTGTGATGTCTGACTAAACTATGCCACAGTCGTGTGATTTTGCATATCAAGTCTCCTCCCTACTTACACACCACAGGAAATAGTATCACAGGCTCCCAGGGGACCAGAAATACTTCCCTCACATCACATTTTACAGTAGTAGATTTATAGATCCTTCTAGTGAAGGATTCAGAGCCTGTATTTCTCATTACACCATTATTCAATCTTGGTACTGCTCAGCAGCAGGAGAAAAGGCACTTTAGCTTCTGTGCCCTGTTCTACAAAAGCAGTATCATCCAACCCAAAACCTGTTACTAAACCACAGGAGCAAGAGAACTAAAACTCCCCAAAACCAAATGCATTATCTGTTTGATACAGAGCAAAGACAGAAACAGGCCTTGAGCAGAAGAACCACCTGTAGCAGCTGGTGGGGCACATACCTTTGGCTGATGTCTGATGCATACGGATTTTTTTTGATGCCACAAACTGCAAGACTTTCTCCACATTCTCCCTCATCTCCTGCTGGCTGGTGGGGTTGACCTGAATGCCACTCAGCTTCTCACCAGCTAAAGGAGCAAAATAACTTTATTAGAGAAGAACTGAACCATTTGGTGCTGTCATAGGGATTGCTATAGGTGTAGGGCTTGACCTGATCTCTTTTCTGGGTACTGCAAGAGACAGGGATGCTTCTTGTCCTGCTTATAAGGTCTTACAGGCAGTGTTTGCAGTGCCTCTGAGAGAACACATTTAAGAAGGGGTTAAAAACTCCTGCACAACAGCAACCAGGAAAGAGGAGTGAGACTATGCAAGAGAAAACTCTGCAGACACCAAGGTCAGCGAAAGAGGGTGAGAAGGGTGCTTCAGGCCCAGGAGTAGAAGCAGCTGTAGTGAGGCAGGTTGTCCCCCTGCAGCCCACAGAGGTCCATGCTGGAGCAGATATCCACTCTGCAACCTGTGGAAGACCCCACACCAGAGCAGGTGGATGTGCCCCAAAGGAGGCTGTGACCCTGGGGGAAACCCACAATGGAGCAGGCTCCTGGCAAAACCTGTGGCCACGTGGAGAGGAACCTACCCTGGAAAAGGTGTTCTGGTAGGACCTCTGACTCTGTCAGGGGAGCACACTGGAGCAGTCTGTTCATGAAGGACTAGACCTCATAGAAAGGATCCATGCTGGATCAGTTTGTAAATAACTGCAGCCCATAGGAAGGATTCACATTGGAGAAGCTTCTGGAGGATTGCCTCCCATGCATAGGACCCCACACTGATGCAGGGGAAGAGTATGGGGTGGAAGGAGACAACACAATGAACTGACTGCAACCCCCATCCCCCTGTGCTGCTTGGTGGGAGGAGGCAGGGAATTTGGGAATGAAGTTGAGCCCAGGAAGAAGGGAGTATCTCAACAAGCAGATCACTCTTTCAAAAATGCCACCCACAAACACCATTCCTCTGTGGAGTACATTCTTCTATAACTCCATCCCAGCCTCGTAGGAGTTAATACAGTCCCTGAGAGGTCTGACCACACCAGTTGTAACTGTCTGCTAACACATAAGTACTTTAGCAGAACTGCATTCATTATTTGCTTTGGTTGTTTTCTTTTAAAATCACTCCTTCCCCTGCCACAAGCTCTGCCACCATCATTAACATCTGCCAGTGTGCCTGACAGATGTCAGAGCCAAGACAAGCCTCTTCTACACAGGATCTAAAACTGCAACATGAAAAACAGTGCCATATGGCATTACTGACCTACAATCTCAATCAGCAAGGCAAGAATTACTCCATCTCGGAGATCTTGTCTCAGGTCTTGGACTGGCTTTATTGTTGGCTGCTTCTTCAGCTGGGAATTCACCCAGGCCACATATGCCTGGAGTTGTTGCTGAAAATAGAAAACAGAATGTTTGTACGTCACTGCCATTTCAAGGGCAAGTTGCAAAGCTCTCACTCTTTCATCTTCATGGATCTTATTGTCTTTTGCCCTTGAAAACAACCACCACCAGTCTCACCCCAAAGCCTGTGGTGCACTAACTGACATCACAGCACACTGTGGTGCAGCTCACTCCATGCCAGCACAGGAGAAGCAAGCAGGGAACAGGACTCGTGATCTAAGCACATCTGAGAAGAGAGCTTTACATTTAATCTAGGTTGGTGCCAAACCAATGTTGTCACCCCCTCATTTTTGGTGACAGAATTGGTTCACTCACAGCATTTAGCACCCCATCCACACTATTTTCAGGATCTGAGAGGAAGGAGCATGGCTCTCCCAGCAGGTCATACTGGATGCTGCTTCCTAGAGCTGTGCATGTTGCCACATGGGGAAGATCAGTTAAAATCAGGTCTCTGGTCAGTGTGGGAACCCATCTGGCAATAGGACCTTTCCTGTTCCAGCCCTCTCTCAGTACACTTCCATGGCTAGTAGAAGCATTGGTAACACTGGAAGCCCTTTGGGCAGGGCTGGTGTGCTACAAGGAGGGTAAACAAACCAATCCATTTAGGGGATTATCTCCCTTTTCACTAAGCTTCCCATTATTCTGCCAGTGTAGCAGGTTTTGAGTGTCCATTCCATATTATCTCAGCAGTACCAGAGTTTATGCTTTTACGGCCCATCAAAGTCACAATCTAATCACAGCTTCACTCTTAATTATCCTGACAGAGGAAATCCAGCTACAATCACACCATGGTTTGGTCTGCTGGTTCAGAAAGGTGACTGGACCTGTATTCAATCAGTTCCACTCACTCAGCAGAGAGCTGGAGAGTAGGGCATAAGAGAGGAGCTGGGGAGCTGCCTGATGGCTTTTGCAAAGAGGAAGCAGAAGTGGCAGATGTGATCCATGCTTGCTGGAACAGGCTTGGCCTGTCACATGGATTGGATCTAAATGCTCTTCGTTGGTTGTAATAGCAGTGATACATGTCAGTTTGGCCTGCCCAGTTTCAGATGTCTTTATTTTTACTTAATATGACAAGGCACTAGGGAGAATCAACAAGCCTGGACTTTCTCTTGCACATCTCCTGTGGCAGCTTTCAGAAGAGCAGTGCTCTTTGCTCTTGCCAGCTGCAAAAAGCACCCCACCTCTTGCAACTGTATTTTCTCTGATCATCTGTACACTGAGGCTCAGTCTAATGCCACAGCCAGAGAGACCAGAAGCCTCCTATTACACAGATTCAATAAAGCTTTAATGTATTCAAACAAATAACAGAGAAGAGGTAAGTTAGTTTGTAGTAATACAGCATCATTATAGACATCTCTAGATTCATAACTAAAGATACACCAAATAGGGTTGCAGCTACATCTGCAGTCTATATAATTTAGGGAAAAATTTATAACATTTGTGTTTACCAACTTGTATTTTTCAAATTTTTACAAAGCTCTGAACAGTTACATTGTACTAATTCCACAAGGGAAAAGCTCCTTCCAAACTAAAGGGTTTTTATACAAGTCCATATGATTCTTCCATTCAGACACTTCTGTTTTCACTCAAAGGAAAATTGGATCCTTTCACTAAGCAGTTTGTTTTCTATTTCTTTTTGCTGAACGTTCTTCAAGCACTCATAAGAAAGCATTTCTGGCCAACTTTAAGTCTCTCTTAGAAGCATGAGAAGGTGGACATGATTTAAAAAAAGGTGTACTGGATTTAGAAGTGTCATTTTAAACAATGCTTACTAAAAGGAGAATTCTGATGCCATGGCTATGGGTGTTACCATTAAAGTAATTTCACAACAGTGGCTGCTATAACTCTGCAAATTCACATTAGCAGACAGACTTTGTTGGTTTTGCTTCCCCCCACCACCAAAGCATAAGTTTTTCCTGCAGAAGTTCAGACAGACTGATCAGCATTTCCTGATGCTGAATCCAAGAACTACAACATCTAATGACTTTAGCAGGAGACTTGGATTGCCTCAAAGCTGAAAACTCAGAGTAAGCTGTCACTTCTGGCAGCAGAGGTGAGCAGGTGACTAAACTTACCAAGAAAAAAAAGATATAGAAGTTTAGCAACCCAAAAATGGCAAAGTCATACTAAACGCATGAAAGGACAAAGCCCCCAAGATGCAGGTGACTAAACTTACCAAGAAAAAAAAATATATAGAAGTTTAGCAACCTAAAAATGGCAAAGTCATACTAAATGCATGAAAGGACAAAGCCCCCAAGATGTTCTGCAGAAATCCCAATAGCAATTTTGAAGCTAGTGAATCAAAAATGTTTTGCTTCACCACTCTGTAGCTTCCCCAAGAGCTGGCATGAACTGGGCAACAAGGACATTGTGGGCCCTTCCATAAAGCCCTGTATCTCCAACATAAACAGGAGGCCTTGATCCAGAGCCACAGGTTCAGTTTCAGGAATCAGACCAATTAAAAAAAAAAAAAAATAAAAAATAAGGAAAATGCTTCTCTCACTCCCTCAGAAATCCATTTATTTCAAAATCTCACTTTACAACAGAACCACCCTAAGTACTACCACAGCAATATGATCTGCCTCTTTGACAGACATCTTTCATGGCATCTGTTCTGGAAAGTACTCCAGGTATCATCTTCCAGCACTGAGAAAGATTTGCTAGGATGTATTCTTCCATAAGAAAAGCAGCTCTACACAGCCTGTTCCACCCCACAAAAACACTCCCTTAGCCTGTGCCTGTCCCTTGTCCACAGAAACACACCAGAACAACCACACTTCATCACCATTTGTTGCTGCAGGCATCTCAGCTTAAACAATACGTGTGCCAAATCCAGTCTCACACAGGTATCAGCTCCTTTTAGTCAAGACCACAAGGGGAAGAGAGAGGAGGCTGGGAACAAACAAGGAGGTGGATGACATTTCAGAAGTACTTCTTTTCTTTTCCAAGACTGTCCCCTCTGTGCTTTTTACACTGCTTCCTGTCAACAGAGTAGGACATTGCACTTTACACCTCCTAAATTAACCAAAAGAGACACTAATCCCAGAGGCAAACAAAAACACAACCTGAGTGAAGGATACAGAGTAAGCCCTTGTGCCTAGGAGGATGAACCCAGTCGTGCCCCAGACCTGCCCAGGTCCCCTGCTCTGCCAGCTGCTCAGATTCTTAGCACTCCTCTTGTTTAACTTCTGTCTTTCCAGTTGAAAGAAAAGATCTCATGGGACCTATCACACCAAGTGCTGTGATACTGTAACTACACTGCTACAGCTTCCTACACCACCTCCCAGAGTCACAGAATCAAACAAATCCCCAGAGCTTCCTTTTGGTAGCTTACAACCTGGTACAGCTGACAGCTATATCCAAGAGCAATCAGAGGGACAACAGCTATTGCTCTGTCCAGCTCATCCTCTTCCTTCATAATAATTGCATAATTAGCCAAATAATTGTTCCTTCAACCACTGGCCTCTCAGCAGCTTTCCACTTCTCCCTGCATTTTGGTTTGAGCTTCTGTTTAGCAAAATCTTAGACTTGATGGGGCTCACACTGCTCTACTCCTGCACCAACACTGCTTTCAAAACTAAGATTTTCAGAAGAAAAACATACCAGCCTAGCCAAAGGTTTACTATGCAGAGCACATGTTATTAGGATTATGGTGGAGTTAAGCTTAATCCTATTTATGTTAACACAGCTTTGTGTTCCAAAAAAAGGCCAGGTTCACCTGTACCTTGCAACAGGAATGCTAGGATGATGAACCCCCTTACCTGAAGGAAGCTGGAGCCCAGCTTGTTTCAGCTCCTGGCAGATCACTGTAGGGTGTTTATATCCAAGGCACTCTGGAAGCTACAGCCTACCAGCTACAGCCAAACAGCTGCAGAGGTCAGGAGCATGTATCTTTATGCTTTCAACTGACAGCCTGAGAGCACACAGGAGGAAAACACCCTTACAGGGTCAGCACATTTTCTCAGGTTGTAATCCCTTACTGATAATTACAATTAAGTACCATTAGTATTTTCCACAGTTGGAAGAAAAGCTGCAGGTCTGCCAGTTGTAGGTGTCCTTGCTGTTCTCCCTGAACCAGTGCAGCTCAGGGCTCATGTTCCTCTCCTCTCAAGCAGCAATCAGCCCAGCCTGTCTAACAGTAAGTGTGGGCACATCACTGCCTTGACATGCTGCTCCATATTTCATCAGTGCCATCTCCATAACACTGCACAGGGTTAGTTTTCATCACCTCTGAGACTAAGGTATTGCACATTTTGAAGTTGGCCAAGTCATTGTTTTTGGACAAAATCATTCTTTAGCAGGCAGATGCCTTTGGAGGGCCTGAGCTCCTCACTATCATCTTACAGACTCCCATGACACTCTCTGCTGCTAGGAAGAGATTACTTCTCTGTGTTCATCTAAGTAATTTGAATCTATCCTTGTAATTTGATTTAGGGAATCAGCCTGGAAGAATGTTGCTCACAATGTTTGCTCTGCTTTTCCCTTATAGCCCATGGACACCACCCAAGCACCAGGTCTAACAAGGTCAAGAATAACAGCCCTCATGCTATGAGACTGGTCCCAGTATGAAAAGCATTTAGTGTCCTGTCTGTTCAGAGCACTGACCCAAATGTCTGCAACAGCAAAACTCAAAGGCTAGACTAATTGCATCGTGTCATGTTTAAGGCCTGTGTGAGTGCTAAGCTCTCTGACATCACCTTCATTAGATGGGAACAGTAATTTTCCATCCAGTATTCCTCCAGTTTGATCTTTCTTGGTTTTGTCTGAGAAATCCTTCATAGGAGCAGAAAATAAAAACCTCCCAAACAACAACAAAAGTTTCTTTCTGCTCTCAAAGCCAACAGAAGACTTCTCCCCTCAAAATTATGACTTAAGTGTGATTTGAGCTGTTTGATATATTAAGATAGCTCCTGGTGCATCCAGCAATAAACCCCACCCAATTATGACCAGAGTGATGACAGAATGACCACATGCACCCACAGGATTTCTC